TGTCGACACTTTTTCAAACTTCTCACAGACTGAAGGAAGTCAAAGACTGAAGTGTAAAATCAGACACTAAGACCGAACACTGTTTCATAACAAGTTGGTCAACGAAGACGTTAGCAGGAGGAGCTAAAGCTAAGAAAAAAGAGCTACATGTAAAGTAGCATCACAGTTAGTTAGCAAATAAACAACAAAAATAAAACTCTGAAACAAACTTTATATGCTATATACTATAATTATAGAGACAATTCTCTCTACGGTAAAAACATCAACTGAACTACAATTGTAAAAAAAAAACAAGATTAAAAGGAGCAAAGCTAATAAAAATGTTCAGATTAATATTCAAATGTTTTAATCCCACTGAGATTAACGGCATCGAAACTCCGGAGAAGGACAAAACGTCACTGTGAACAAACAATAATAAAATAAAAATAAACGAAACAAACAAAAAGCTGAGGTGAGCGTTCAGTCAGTCCGGACCCGCGGCCTGGAAATACACGCAGCCCGCTCCGGGGGTTAGCTGCAGCCCGGGCCTCGGAGTTTCGGGACAGATTTCTAAAGTCCGACTTCAAACTATTTTAAACTTCTGAAAACTGAAATAAAAAGTTCTGCTTTTTCTCTACACGTCATGTCAACCATTTGTTGAAGACAACACCAACCTCCGACACCAGCCCCGTCACTCCGCACAACTTTTCACCGGGAAGGAAGTCCGGCTAGAAGTCCTTCACTCAGCTGCTGCTGTGGTCGATTCTTCGGTGGTAGGTATGCGGTCACACCGCGGCCTCCAGAGCCATGGAGGCGGAGGTGAGTGCTCGGGATAGAAGGAAGAAAACGACAGGACTTTTAATGTTGTCCTATTGTCTGGGTGTTTTCCTCCGTGTCTCCAGGTCCAGGGCGGAGCAGGAACTTCTTCCTGTCGCTCACTTTGGAAACTCGACAGGAAACTGCGGCTTTGCTCATGCAGTTCCTCATTCCACCAGAAGGGGACAGGAATACCACAATTATACCGCCCATAAACGGAGACGCCTTCATTCCAAGGCCTGTCGAACCAACCCCGCCCATTTAGACCTCGGCCACGTGGGACTCTGAAGACTCCGGTCCCGCCCATCACGGTGGTGAAAACAAACACGTCAATCAAACAAACGTCTGGGATTAAAGAGAATTACAGAGTGATTTCAACGTCATTTATGAAAAAAATGTCAGAATAATGATCAGATTCTGTCTTCACTCTGAAATAAAAACATTTCTTCGACATCAAAGAGTAAAGTGTAGCAAAGTAAATGTTGAAAAAGAACTTTATTGACACAGCAGTGACATCACAATGACACGGCTATGACGTCACAACAGTAACATATTTACAACTCCTGCTTTTTAAACCAAAAACCAACTGCAGTCTCCAGAGGTGATGATGACGTCACAGGTCCAGGGGGCGGAGCCTCAGTACTGCTCAAATCCAGCCATCAGGGACAGAGCCAGAGATTCCACTGAGAAGAGAACATGGAGACACTGTGTCAGAACCAGAACCAGAACCTTGGTCTCAGATCAGTGTGACCTGAACCTGATCTGGGATCAGACTCACGGTGAGGGAAGGAGCCTCGACACACGGCCTTGTTCAGGATGGTCACCAGGAACATGTGGCAGTTTTTGAAGTCGGACTCCATCTTATCAATGGACTCCATCCTGGAAGGAAACACATCCTCACATCACAGACAGCACCACAGACAGTACCACAGACAGCACCACAGACCGCACCACAGACAGCACCACAGACAGTACCACAGACAGTACCACAGACAGTACCCCAGACAGTACCACAGACAGTACCACAGACGGCACCACAGACAGCACCACAGACAGTACCACAGATGGTACCACAGACACCACCACAGACAGTACCACAGACGGCACCACAGACAGCACCACAGACAGTACCACAGACAGTACCACAGACAGCACCACAGACGGCACCACAGACCACAGTCAGATTCTTACTTCCAAGCTCCAAAGCCGGCTCTCCAGCGGTCAGAGAAGATCAGTACCAGATTGAGGACCTTCATGATGGCTTCCTTCACGAAACTCACCTAAACCACAACGACAGGTTGAGAGGAGAAGGAAACATGAGCGCCACCACATGTCAGTGTCAGACGGACCCCCTAACACCAAACCTCATTGAGAAAAAGTCGTCAAAAAAGGGTCAGAGGTCAATGACAAAGCCACCTTCTCTCTAAGCAGACAGCGGTCATGGATCGTGGCCAGGTATCTGTAATGGATCTTGATCAACTGATCCAAGTCTTTGGCTTCCTGGACCTGGTGCTGGAACTCCAGACCAGTGCTGTGGAGGATCTGAAGGATCAAAACACACACAGTGGAAACATCACTGAAGGTAAATCTGGTCACATGACCACTGGACCACTGGACCGTGAACATTTGTCTAGCCAAGGTCTAAGGAGGCTTACCATGGTGCACGTGAGTGTGCACCTGAGTGTGCACGTGAGTGTGCACGTGACTCACCCTGGTCATGATGTAGTTGTGCAGACTGTTGACAAAGTGCATGAGTTTGACTCTCAGTAAACACATGCGGTGAATCTGCTGACTCACTCTGCGCTCCTTCACTTCCTGTGACGCAGCTGCCTCTGCCTTCACCCCACTGCTAAGATCTGACGGGAACAATCGCTATCAGAACACAGCCATTCAGAGACACCGTTTGTTTGTGTGGGAGGAACATGAGGAGTGAAGACTGATGGTTCTGGTACCACTGAAGCGGAGTGTGTCCAGACTGTATTTGGCCCATTTGATCTGCAGCAGCAGCAGGAAGACCTGGTTGTAGATCTTCTGACACTCGGTACTGATCACTATGTCCACGGGCCACGGAACCTGCACGGGTATCAGAGGAGGACGGGTTCAAAACAGTTCCTGTTCCCGCAGGTGCTGGCACCGGCCAGTGAACCCAGCCTGGACCCGGCCTACCTTATAGCTGAGGGTCAGAACCTCCAGGTTGTTCACCGGGTGTTTTTTCCTGGACGGGTCAGCGTTCTCCAGAAACACCGACAACCTGCGTAAACACAAACCATGGACAAAGATCAGGACGGATTTGTCCACTGAAAGCTCGACTGGTGAAATCAGAGCCCAGCTCTACCTGCTGCTGTCCTCTGGGTGGCGCTGTCTCACTGCCTCCTGCAGCTGCACGTTCAGAAATGACAACTGCTGCCAGTTCTCTTTCTCTCGCACCTTGTCAAAGATGGCGGTGTAGAAGTCGTACATGGTGTCACCAGCCTCCAGCAGGAAGTAGTTCCTCATAGCCTGAAGGTACTCCAGCAACCTGAGGGACGCGGACCCACAGTAGAGACAGGAACAGAGAGGAGACAAGTCAGTGCTCCACACAAAAGACAAGTGAGAACCTCCTCCGAACCCTGACTCTGAGAGGAGCCTCTGTGTGAGGAGCACCTGTAGTCCTTCTTCAGGGTCTTCATCAGGTTCCCGCAGCACTGGATGTACCTCCTCTGGATGTGAGGGTAGAGACAGGAGCGCAGCGTCAGCTCGAACGTCTGACACGTGACCGACTGAGACGAGCGGTCCACCATGACATCACCAGCAGAGAAGCACTGGTGAAAATCAGTCTGCTCCAGGAACAATCTGAGGACGTAGACAAAGGCGGGGGGGAGGGGGGGGGTGTAGTAGAACAAGTACAACAAGACTTAAGAAGACTAGGAAGAGAGAGAGAGAAATGATTTCAGCCATTTCTCTATGAGGTTTGGTGTGGGTGATAAAATCGCTGGTTTTCTCTATGAGGTTTGGTGCAGAGAGACGGTGTTTGTACCATGTCTCTCCATGGAACAATAAAAAAAAAGTCCAGGAGAACCAGTTTTACCATGTCATTTTATTATGCTATTATTGAGGTGGATGATGTCACAGCTGGGGCTGAATCGTACTTTTTGGGTCTGTTGCTTCAGTACTGACGCTGCTTTGGCTACATGAGTTATCATGGCTGTGAATACTGGTTATACTATCAGTATTATCAGTACCAAAGTACTGATAGTTTCTATAGACTTGATGAAGGTACTATGGTGTGGATTTGTTCAGGCAGGATGCCCACTGGAGGCCGGGGTGAGAACTACACCCCACTGTGTTTTAGTATCAACAAAGCGATGTGGCTTCTTCTCACCTGGCAAAGTTAATGGCCAGCAGGGGGTCGTGGAGGTCATCGATCTCCAGATGCTGAGTCATGATGGACTGCATCTTCACCAGACCCCTGGTGGTGACCTGCTGATGGTTCAACTCGTCTGGTGAAGACTCTTCTGGGCTGCGGAGGCAGGACTGCACCGACTGGAGAAACAGGCTGTACAGACTCCTCCTCCTCTCTGTGTCTGCATCTGCAACCACAACGACGACCTTAGACATTCTTCTTCTTCAACTCTACAGAATCCTGGCCAGATGACACACTACTGACCTCTGGTGGAGCGTGTGTGCGTCTGCTCAGCCTCCAGGTTCTTCATCAGCTGCATGGACTTTCCTGCCATGATGATCTGTTTGAGGACAGGTTTGAGGAAGGAGACCATGGTGAGCTGACGCCCGCTGCAGCCTGAGCCCTGATCTCCTGCTGAGCTCCCGCTGGCCGAGTCGTTCAGCTTCTCCTCGTTCTCCACCGTCTCTGACACGCTGTACAGGGTGTAGGTGGCGTACCAGAAGTCCCTGTGGTTCACCGGGACGTCTTTGTTCCTGACAAAACATGACCGCATTGTTGTGATCCACTTCACGCCAGTCTGTGTCGGTGGTGGGACAGGGCGTTAGAGGTGTGGCTCCCCCTACAGGCCGGAGAGCCACGTGGAGCCTTGATCTGAAGGTTTACCCCAGAACATTTGTTCCACCATCTACTTTGACCAATATCACGTTACTCCTTTTCTAGAAATAAAACCGTAGCTCCCTCACAGGCTGAACGCTGAACTGCGCCTCTCAGAGCCTCTCACCTCTGGATGATGAACTCTTTGGCCGGATCGAACAAATGTCCGTGAACGATCCATTCATCCACAATCTCCAAGTACGGTCTAACTGTCTCTGTCCACAGAGAGAACAACAGCGCCACCTGGAAGAGACACAATGACGTTAAGAATCCATCAGCATCTGAACATGAACCAAAGCTGTGGCTCCAGGCTGTATTATGGTCCGGTCTGGTGCGGTCCAGCTTCACACTCACCGTCTGCTCTGAAGCTTCTCCCACGCTGTCGTACTCGATGATGGCCTTGTACAGTGTGTTGAGCAGATGTGAAGCTCGGACCACGTTTGGTGTCTGGGCCGGAACTTCAGCCACACCGGTGCAAAAGACTCTGTGCAGGACTGCGATCTGACCCAGGTAAGGACTGAGTCGATCCAGAACGGCCGACAAGGTCACCGTCTCCTCTGTCTCAGGTCACAACGGAACAGAAACAAAACCTCGACTTCAACACACGTACGGTGGTGTGTGTGTGTGTGTGTGTGTGTGTTCACGGAGTCGTCACCATTGTGTATCAGCTCCTTCTCCATGGAGTTCAGCTCCTCTCTGAAGCTGCTGAAGAACTTGTTCAGGGCCCAAACAAAGGCCTGGTACGTCCTGAACGGGGGCTCCGAGCTTTTTTTTGAGCTGTGGGCAGGTCCGGCGCCGGGTCCGGCGCCGGGTGGACCGGGCTCTGAGCTGTGGCCCGTCACCTCATCGATGAACCTCTGCAGCCTGAAGACGGCCTGACCGTACACAGAGATGTGCTCCAGCACCGAGTGCAGGCAGTTCTGGAGTAAAGGGAGAGTTCATGTTTTCACAGGTCGGACTCAGAGGTTCTCCTACATCCAGGGTGGACTGGTGGAGAACCTCATGGAGAACTCATGTTCTCCTGCAGAACAAGAGACCAAACCTCTGAGGTCTGACTCCTCCTTCAACCACTGAGGAGAAAAAGAAAAAGACCCAAACCAACTGGACCAGGATCATCTGGTACCAGGCCACGAAGTAGGGCTCTTATTTTGAAAAGACTCTTTACACATTTCAGCACCTGCTACAGGCAGTGTGGAGTAAACAGGGCCACGGCAGGAAGTGGTAAAGAGCGTCACGTTTTCACTAAAGGTTTTCACACTCACACTGGTCAGATGAGTGACCACCACGTTATTCCGGACACACACTTTTCCATCGTGGTGCTGGAAAATGAAGTGCTTCCTGATCCCAGACAGGAGCCTGGAACAGAACACAAGTGGGATCAACTGTGAAGTCGGACTGACGTCGGGCTGATCGGTCACCGCTGCAGTTACAACATCTCACCACAAGGTTTCTCGGATGACCTGAGTCTCTGTGACGAAGGCTTTTTCCTCTGGCAGATAAAGAGGATCGGTGTTGTACAAGTGCTGGTCCCTGAGGAGGAGAGGTCAGAGGTCAGAGGTCACACACACACAATCCCGTCCTCCCCCCCACATCAGACGGAGGGGTTGGACCTCACCACACGTTGAGCAGGTTGGAGTGTAAATGTAGGCTGTGAGGGAAGCGAGGGGCGTGGGCCACCCAGTAGGGCGTGACCAAGTGCTGCTCCAACCAGGCACGAGCGTCCGGCTCCCCCACTGGACCACACAAGACAGAAGGAGATTCACCAGGGACCAAAACAACATGGCCGAAACAGGAAGTTATGATAGTCTTTGTTAACTGGACCAACATAAAATAGACTGCAGAAGTAGGTCGTGGCTGTGGTGGGCTGTGGCCCACGTGACCTGATGTTGAACTTTAAGAGCTCTGATTGGTTAAACACACAGGGTTGACTTCTATATCAGTACCAGTCCATGTAACTGGAACTGTTTTGTTGTTGTCCTGCTGCTCCTCCTGTGGTGTTCTGTCCAACTGTATCCCAGAATCCTCTCTGCTGATTGGCTGTTGGCTGTCGTCTTCTTCACTCTCCTCCTCAGACCACTCCTGTGAAAGAGCAGAGAAGAACATGGCAGCTGCACGTGTCTGTGACTGAACTGAACTGATGCTGAGTCTGGATTGGATCTGCTCACTGGCGTGTCAGGATACGGGCCGGCGTCCACGTCTTCACCCTCCATCAGATATTTACCCCAGTCAAAGGTGTCCACGGCTTCTGGAGGACAAATATGGAGACAGTCTGTCAAACTGCAATCGGACCATAGAGAAAATCAGCGATTTTAGCCCACAGGTCCACTGCTGCCTCTTGTGGTCAGTTGGTCAATGACATGCAGTGCATCAACTGCTGTATCTTGCTGAAATCCCTAATTTTCTCAATGGATTTTGGTGTTGAATAGTTGAACAGTGAGTGCTTGACAAACATCAGTTCTATAGACTCAGCTCAGAGTAACTGAACTGCTCAAGTAACAGCACTGGGCTCCATGCATAATGTGAACTGTCCCTTTAAGGCACTGACCCGCCTCCTTCAGCCGGGGTCTCTCAGTGAAGTCTGTGTTGGAAGGTGAGTCTGACAGGTGGAGGAGCAGAGACAGAAGACTGAAGTGAACATCAGTCTGGAGGAGAAACACAAACAGGAGTCAGGGCTAACCTCTGACTCACACTCTCACACACACACACTCACACACACACAAAATCACACACAGACCTTGGTTCCCTCAGTGTTTGGTAAAGGTGACGTCAGAAACTCCTCCGTCAGCTTCATCCAACTCTCTGCTTTGTTCAGCTCCGAGTGAACCATCAGCTTCATGTAGATACTGAGGACAAACAGATGGACTCTGACTACGGAGGGTCAGACGGATGACCGACCAGCCATGGATTCACTCATGTATTCACTCATGTATTCACTCATGTATTCACTCATAGATCAATGCATTCACGCTCTCACCCAGTGATGCTGCGCTGAACTCTGTGACTGTCCACGTCCAGGAAACGATGAAAACTGTGTAGAAAAACAAAAACAAACACTCAATCTATAAATGCTCACACTTAGCTTCCATGTTAGCCTGATGTTAGCTGCGCCTTCTTCTGACCGGAAGTTGGAGCAGGTGAACCTGAGAGCCAGCTGGAAGTTGTCCTCCTCTTCGTCCTCCTCTCCACAGATACACCTGATCAGGTTCTTCGTTTCTCTCAGTGTCTCTCTGTCGAAGTCACTCCACAGCGCCGCCATCTTTCTGTTTGTGGTAGCTGGTGCTAGCTGGTGTTAGCAGCAACCAGGCTTACAGAGTAAAGAACTCCACAGCACGGACCTGGAACTGTTAGTAAACAAAGAACGTTTACTTAGAAGAACACGGTTCTTCACACTACGTTCCTTCTCCATTCATTTTTGAGCAGCGCCAGTAAACGGTCACACGGATCTTCTGCGCACGCGTGCGGGCGTCTTTCTCTTCAGCGGCTCTTCTCTGAAGATGTCGTACTAACACGTTGCTACCACCTACTGGTAATGGGGTTAAATTGCAGCTGATGAAAAACTGAAAAACTTTTTGGATGAAAGCATAAGGATAAGAGAGAAAAAATAACTACGAAAAAAGAATAATAAAGAAAAGTAACAAAAAAAGGTTGTTGTGTTTCCTCAAAACAAAAGAACAACATTGTCAGGATTTAGAAATGTCAACATTCAAATGTCATTGTTATTATCAGAACCATGTTTCTTTATCGTGACGTAAGTTGCTTTTCTTTCATGTGCAGTTTTTCAGTCTAATTATTTTTTAAGATTTTAATTCGTCATCAGTTTGTTTTTCCATAGTGAGTTCTTACTTAGAGCACCAGCAGCGGGGAGGCCTGTAGAGGGCGGTGTTGATGTGAGAACAAAAACAATCAGATTATTGACCGTCGAAGAGGCGGCGCTTACCCCTCACACACACACGCACGCACGCACACGCACGCACGCAGAAGTTTTCAGCAGCAGCAGAGTCGGAGCTGAAGCTTCGACTCTCAGCAGCTCTTTCTCCTCCATCACCTCCTCCAGCTTCGGGCTCCGCTCAGATGATGAAGAGGAGGATCCATAAAAAATACCTCGTCCTGATTCTGGCTTACACCGGTCTGCTGCTCCTAATCCCCTACGCCCTGGATTACCGGGACAAACCGGAGCAGCGGGGACTGCAGCCCCAGCCGCGCTGTCCTGACCTGGACCGCACGATGGCGCTGCTGTGGGAGAACTACAACATCAACGGATCCGACCACCGCGAGGGCGCGGGGGGTTTCAGCGGGAGGCGCGTGCACGTCTATTTGCACGCCACCTGGCGGACGGGTTCCTCGTTCCTGGGAGAACTGTTTAATCAGCACCCGGACGTCTTCTACCTGTATGAGCCCATGTGGCACATCTGGCAGGCCCTGTACCCGGGTGATGCGGGCAGCCTGCAGGGGGCAGTGAGGGACATGCTGAGCGCCCTCTACCGCTGTGACTTCTCCGTGCTGCGTCTGTACGCCGGCTCGGCTAACATCAGCACCTCCTTCATCTTCGGATGGAAAAGCAACAAAGTCATCTGTTCGGAGCCGCTGTGCGACTCGCACCGCCGCGCCGACGTCGGCCTGGTGAGGGAGGAGCTGTGCGCCAGGTGTCAGAGGCGAGATATCCAGGTGGGTGGAGCTCCCTTGGACTTCTTCTCCTTCACATAGTTGTCAGTGACCTTTGACCTAGGCCTTCATTTCTGTTATTGGTACCGTAGAACTTTCTTTCCAGAAACATCTTCATAAACACAACAGTTCTGGTTCCCAGTGTCCTCCTCCTCCTCCTCCTCCTCTTCTTGGTTCTCCTCCCTGTTCTCCACATCCTGACCTCTGTGTTTTCCAGGAGCTGGAGAAGGAGTGTAAAAAGTACCCAGTGATGGTGATCAAGGGGGTCCGGGTTCTGGACCTGAGCACCCTGGTTCCTCTGATGAAGGACCCGGACATTAACCTTCAGATCGTCCAGCTGTTCAGAGACCCGCGGGCCGTGCACAACTCCCGGCTGAAGTCCAAGACGGCCTTGGTGAAGGAGAGCATCCAGGTTCTGCGGAGCAGGAAGCCCAACGACGGCTACAAGCGTCTGTTTCTGCCCAACACCAGGGTGAACCGGGCCGACAGCTACGTCTCCGCCGCCATGGAGCTCATCTGTGACAACTGGCTGAGGGACATGCTGCTGGTGTCAGGCGCTCCTCCTTGGATTCAGAGGAACTACCTAAGGGTCCGCTACGAGGACCTGGTGTTGCGCCCCCTACTGGAGCTGCAGAGGTTGTACCATTTTTCCAACTTGACGACATCTCCTGCGCTGGAGAACTTTGCCCTGAACATGACGCACGGACGTGGGTATTCCTCGGACAAACCGTTCCTCATCTCTTCCAGGGACGCCAAGGAAGCCATCTACGCCTGGAGGGAGCGGCTGAACGTGGGACAGATCCAGCAGGTGGAGCTGTTCTGCAGCGAGGTGATAAGGCTGCTGGGATACAACAAACAGCAGGTGGAGAACACAGCCACGTGAGGGCGCCACTGAAACGTTAGGTCAAAGGTCACAGGTGAGCTCAGCAGCATGTTCCTTTTTGAAACTATTATTCAGTTCCAGTAACAGTACCAGGAACATCTGTTTGTCAGGGGTGATGGTTTCCTTTTCTTTTTAAATACCAATCTTGCCAAAGGTTGCAAAAATGTTGCCACTTTATTTCAGTATTTTATCTCCTCACACGATGTTTTATGTCAATGGTTATAAATAAGAGAAACAATTCAAACAGTCGTTTCTACTATTGATAAATTCATGCTAAACATCTGTACATTTTACTACGTTCACTCGGGTTTTCAAGTGTTTTCTAAAGGTTTAATCCAAATATTTTTAGAAAATCAGCAAAAATACAAATGTGTTTCCAAAAGTCAGATCTAAGAAGCCGAGAGAAAAGGAATTTAATAGTTAGCAGTTAGTCGTTATTACTGAGACCAGAATTCTTTTCTTCAGCCTCAGTCCTTCTGCTGATGAATGGAAGAGAGAACAGGAAGTTAGTGGTTTCACAGAAAAAAATATGCTGCTGTTGTCGGTTTCTCACATTTGACCTGAAAACACAGCAATTTATTCATCAACAACTTTTATTTTAAAACTATTCCTGTCAAATTTACACATGCTGAACTTTAGCAGTGGTGGCTGAGCTAAAATCTCTGAATATTCTTTATGGACTTTGGTCTGAACTAAAATCACTCAGTGAGAGTGAGTAAATTACTAACTTTGGTTTGTGTTGTTAAGTTAAACAGTGTTCAAAGATGTGGACAGTGGACTGGAGATGGTCACGCGTTGACACTGATTGGACGTTTGGACTCTGTTGTTGATTTCTGTCTAACTTCTGTATTTTCTTTGAGAACCAGTTTGTTCTGGTTCTTTTTATCAGCGTCACAGATGGTTCTTGTTTATGCCTGTTGTAGCTGCTGCTGTAACTGTAGGACTGGAGAACAGGCGTCCTCTGTGTCTGTGTCTCTCTGAGACGCTCCCCTCCCTCCCTGCATCCCCCACTCACCCCAATCCCACAGTAGAGTCAGTGTTGCTGCAAAAGTCAACAGTCCAAAAAACTCAGTGTTTAAAGTTTAGTTCAGTAAAGAACATGGTTCTGCTTTGTTCTTGAAGAACGTCACCTACAGAACCAGTCCTGACTGTGTGTCTTTAACAGGGAATCTTCTGGAGTCAGGACCAAAGACAACCATGAACCAGAGCAGCAGCAGCAGCAGCAGCAGCAGCAGCAGCAGCAGCAGCAGCAGTAACTGGACTAACCCTCAGACGACACCGTTGTTCTCCAACGACCAAGCTGTCGGTCAGACTCACCGTTAACTCAACATTTAACAATCACGCGTTAATTCAGAGATTCCACGTCCAGCTGATCCTGACTCTCCAACACACCTGTGGAGGCTCATCGCTGCCACCTGCTGGATCTGTTTTCCACTGACCAGTTACAAAGAGAGAACAAAAGACGACTCAGGGCGAACATTTGTTGGTATGAACAGCTAACAGTGCTAACAGCTAACGGTGTTAACAGTGCTAACAGCTAACAGTGCTAACAGCTAAGTCCACTCACGTGGAGCAGTGAAAGAAGAAAGTCCAGTGTGAGATCTAAGGAAACATAGTTTGACCTTCTGACCTCTGAGGAATGTACACAGCTGTGGAATACCCCTCCCTCTTCCCCCTCATCCCCCAACACACACACTCCCACACCCAAACACACACACACTTGATGTGAGAATTGGTCTTTGGAGTGTGGACCTACTTGAACATCGGTACCGAACAAAGCTGTGAAACCTTTGAACCTGTGTTTGTTTTCACTGATGAAGGTGAAGAGATCGTGTTCCAGGTTCTGACGGTTCTTCTGTTGAAGGAACAGTTCTGTGTCCATGTGGAACCAGCAGTGAAACCATGGCCGGAGAACAGACGGGTTCTAAGGTTCTGATGGAGGAACGTCAGAGATTAAAGGCTGGTTGGGACACACACACATGCAAAGGTCACAGCAGCAGTCATGTGATGTGAGGCAGAACAGAGAAGAGCATTGTGGGTAGACGACATTCTTCAGTGGAACAGAAGTCGTGGTCTTTGCTGCCTCACATTCTTCAGACAGAAAACAGGAACAACTGAGACTGACTGACAACAGTACTGTTCCTCCTGCAGGACCACAGTTCCATAACTGATCAAAGACTGATCAAAGACTGCTCAAAGACTGGTTAATCATTGATGTGAATGAAACGAAAATGTCTGACCAAATTTAATAAACTTGAATTTGAAGTGAATGGTGTTTATAGAAGATCTGTGGTACTGTTTTCTCCACCTGTTCCCCAGGTTACTGTTTCAGATCCAGTTCCTTAAACACTAACCTGGTTCAGTTTTGGACTGGGATTGGAACCACAGAAGGTCGGCAGAGTGGAGGTCAGAGGTCACTGTGGGTCAGAATGGGCTTCAGCAATCTGGACTGATGTTCAAGAGCAGCATCTGAGTGGGGAAGGAAGATGAAGAAGCAGAGAAGCAGGGTTTACCAAAGAACCAGGACCAGGACCAGGACCAGGACCAGGACCAGGACTGATCAAGTTCTGGATATGCTTTGAAATAGAACTAAAATTCCTATCTCAAAATCACTTGATTTATTATGAAACAACAGAGTGTTGCATTTGTAAAGTGAAGAATGTGAATCCTGTATGACATGTGGCGCCCCCTGGTGTGTAGTGAATGTAGGTGTGGATGTGAGTAAACAACAACAGCAGATTCACTGGTTCCTGTGCCTCACTTCAGGGGGAGAAAAACTCACACAATAGTTTGTGTTCAGGCTGAGAAGGTGCTACGCATACTAAACACACACACACACACACACACACACACACACACACACACACACACACACACACAGCCCAGCAGTCTTCACTTAAAGTTAAAGTTAAAGGTTGAAACGCTTTATTACCGAATAACACGTTCTCTTATTAAGTGAAATTAATTAAATCATTGAAATATGTTTGTGTGAATGTGCAACAACAAACGTTTAAATTTTAAACTAAATAAATTGAGAACGTAACCTTTTAAGGGCATAACCGCGGAGACTGTCTTTGAACTGAAAGAGGACGAAACAAAAGAAAAACAACAACATAAAGTACTTGTCAACTTATCTGTGAAAATGCAGAACATGACAGAACCCGGCCGTAGTGGACAGTTTTTAAAGGCGCGGGTTTTGTCAGCAGTGCCAGTCGCTGTGTCTGAAACCGCCCCCTACATGCTACACAGTGTACTACATCGGGGCACACCGTCCGACTCGCTCGGGGAGCAAGACAGCACCACACGCAGGCGCAGACACACCGGGGACCGGAGCGGGGTATGAGGTAGCGGGGTGGGTGGGGTCCTTCCACCAGTAGAAGTGTGCTGTCCCTACTATTGCCTGTGGTAAATTTCCGTTATTAGTGTTAGCTGTAGTGTTGATGTGTGTGTGAGACAGACGCGTGTGTTGGAGATTTATAGACAGACGGAAAAAACCTCGTCCCGCGTTGATTCAATATGGAACACAACGTTGAACGTCCAACCTCAGCTACGGTTGCCAGTGAAGACGCGCTTACACTGCCTACAGCCACAGTATGAAAAGACGTGGGCGTCCACTTTGTTGTGCGCCTTGTTGTGGTCATTTTGGGCTGCTTGTTTTAGCGGATGTGACGTAATTAGTTGCTATCTAGAGAGATTAATGAAAGTGAGCGGTTATTCCTACTCATCAGCTCGAACTCCGAGAAGCCCGGGTTCACTACCAAGATGGCGGCTCAACAAAAAAACTATTATATATATAAAAGAAATTATAGAAATGTATTCCCCTTATTCTCAATGTTAAATTTAGTGACAATTATTATCGCTCGTCAGAATGTTGCTGCACATTAATCACATTACTGCTGAGAGGAGGGCGGCAGCCATCTTGTTTTTTCAACATGCTCGTCCCACTTAACATTTGGAATGTGTCAGTAAATGGAAGGTAGTAAATGTGTTTTATAAGGAATAATCCGAAACTCAATGGAAGAATCACCTTTAAATGTACAATAAAGGGTTAGTTTTTGTTGTTGTTGAATTACTAGAGCAATGGTGACGCCTGAAAATGACTTAACAACTGAATTAAGGAAAGGCTTCTGTCCAGACGAGGTGGCCAGGAAGTGGACCACCTTAGTGGAGAGCTGGAAAACATCCAGGACATTGGTGGTGGGTGGCGCTCTGGAGCAGTGCCAGCCCTCCACCCTCATGATCCAAATTCCTAGCAGACACAGCCTCAGTGGACAGAATGTCTCAGAGACGCCACCTAGAGGAAGACATTGTTCACTGTCTACAAGAATCGGAGGCGGCAGCTCAGCAGCGCCACACTGAGGTCATGGCTCAGCTTAAGTCCGATGCCACCTGCTGATCGGACCCTAAACAAACGCCTCTGAGAGGACGAGGTGCTGCAGTTCCTGAGAGTGACAGAGGTGGCCAGGCAGCAGCGCCACCTGGAGACGTTGGCTCAGCTGAAATAGTGCTGTGCTTGGAGATGCTGATGTCACAGTTGCTGTACAACTCTGATGACATCATCAACCCTGTACACCAATATTTATAAAAGAATGAATGATTTACTTTCTAACTGAACCAAGGTCAGAGGTCACCACCGGACTGAACTTTCACTCGTCCTCAGAGTCGTTTGAGTTAATTTCAAGGTTTAAAAAGATCCTTCTCATTTACATATCTCACCAACTGATTGACCTCTGTGACCTTTTGCTCACTGCCAGCAGGAAGTTGATCCAGGACAACAGGAAGCAGAAGGCGCTCAGCAGCAGCTGCATCAGTCCAGTGATGTGGAGAGAAACAAAGGTCAAAGGTGTCTGTGTGTGTGTGGTTGTCTTCACTGGGCTGTGATTGGTCTGGAACAGAGGAGGATTTGAACTTAGTCTGAACCTGGACAATGCTTGGTGTTGACCAGTAGAGGGAGACAGGGTGACTGTTTCATAACAGTAACAGTCGGACCACCTCCACCTTCTCCAAACAACAGAGGTCAGAGGTCGGGGTCTGAAAATGGCATATCTGGTCAATTTCTAACATTAAAAAAAAAAAAAGTAAACATTTTGGTGATTGTTTTTTTACTTCAGGATTTTTACTTTGTTCTTTAGAAAAATGGTGTCTGGTTCAGTTCTGACATCCCAAAATATGAGTTATTGACACGTTTTAATTCAAAGTTAACATTTGACGAACCAAGATGTTGATTGAACTTTTCTAAGTCTGTCTGTCGTTGACGTCTGTCGTTGACGTCTGTCGTTGACGTCTGTCGTCTGACTGTCAGAAGTCCAAGGTCAGAAGTCCGTGACATCGGTGCTGGAGGCCATTCTCCCTGGGTTGGTCCTTCTGAGACTCCATAGCACTTCACAGGTGGCGCTGTAGAGTCAGAGGTGAGGGCGTGGCTACACCCTGCAGCTGTCTGCACCGCAGTTCAGTTTTTGAGTCTAAGATTCTCCCACCAAGAAGGCGGAGCTAAGAGAAGGCAAGAAAGAGAGCGAGGGACACGCTGAGGAACAGGAAGAGGTGTGTCAGAGGGCTGACTCCGCCCCCGCTGTTGTCTTCAGTCAGGAAAGACTCGGCAGACTCGTACACCGAGTCGTCTGGGGAAAAAAACAACAACAGATGTTTGCATCTGGTTACAGGGGGATGGAAGGGAGGAGGAAGAGGAGGAGGAAGAGGGAACTCACTGCTTGGTTTGACGTACACTCGGAGTTTCAGGCATGTTTTTCCTGCTGTTGTCAGGGGAGATGCTGTAGAGACACAGACCAGACTAATCGATCACGGATCAATCACAACAGATTTATGACTTTTTTGGCTATTACTCTTTAGCACTGTCACTGGTACTGTTTCTTAGTAGGTGTCAAAATACTCAACCCACTTTTGTTTAGTACCGTTTAGTACGGTTGACTACTGGGATATAACCGTTCTCATCGGTACTGTTTAGAACTGTTGGTACTTACAGATGTAGTAGTACTCGTGCCCCGGCCTGAACTCGAAGCCCAGGCTAAATGGTGTGAAGAGCTGAAACTTTTCAGAGAATCTGATTGGTCCGTTAGAGCTAAGTGGGCGGGTGCACTCCCAGCGTTTGAAGCCTGTCGTGCGGTGGTCACATGACAGGAAGCCGTGGTAGTTGACCATGAACAGAACGTATTGTTCCAGGTTGTCTGCTGGCTCCGCCCCCTCGTAGTGAGGACAAAAGATGAGAAGATAGTCGTTGATAGAAACTTCCACCGTCAGTTCACCGTTGGAGAAACTGAGGAGAACAAACACAAGGGGCGGCGGGGTGGGAGGGGTTAGAAGGTCACTCTACATTAAAAAGCGCACAGATAGCTAACATCTATCTATCTGCTATCTTTACTCAACTCTATTTTAAATGACTGCCTTTTATTTCTGAAATCACTCTTATTGCTAGGCTAACTATTAG